GGGGCGGTGGTGGCATGGGTGGCGTTACTGGACCATTTTGCACTAGCAAAAAAAGCAGAAACAAATTGCCTTTGAAAACAGGGGAATGGTTTCACCTGCAGGATGTCATGTGCACATAAAGTATCCAAAAAACAAAACACTTAAAAGGACATGGGAATTTTTTTCAAACACTATAAAATGTCCTCACTGGCAAATAAAGAATACACTGCAACATACGTAAAAGCTTCAGCTTTAGAACCTTAATCTCAAAATGTAAAAAGTTTTTAAAATCAAAAAAAGAACCGGCCAACAAAAGCAAACAAAGGACATAAACAGACAGTGGATAAAAGAAGAAATACAAATATCCCGATACCCTTTCAGTTCTCCCGCTGAGGCTTCTTACCTGCTTCAGGCATGTCTGCCGATGGAGGTAGTGGGGGGGGAGGAGGGGGCAAGGGTCCCGAGGAGACGACCCCCGTTACTGGTCCCACAAAGTTACCCACTGCCACTTCTGACCCCGTGGACAATGTGCCAGAAGCCACGACTGGCAGTATGGCGATGTCCCCATCCCCTTTCTTCTGAATTTTAATGGTCCCTTGTTTCTCCAGTTCATGAATCTTTTTTTCCAGAGTTGACTGTCTTTGAATGGCTTCTTCTTTTTCTTTGACCATTTTCCTTAATGTGTGAACCTGGGTATTTGCATCTTTGTAGATTTCCTGCAAAAAGAGTCCACAGTCAAGAGTTTAACTTCACATGACATTCATACCTATTACCATCAGATTGGCAAATTGCCAAAAAAAAAAGGAAAAGGGAAAGGAAAGGAAAAGAGAAAAAAAAAAAGGACACTCATAAATACATAGGAATCCTAGGGAACTCAGCCAGATCCTATGAAGTCCCATTCATTATCAATTGTTCATTGGTAATGCGTTTAATGTATTCTAGCAACTGTTACTGTTAATACAGTTCTTTCTATTAAGAAGTGCAGCTAACTCAATTTTCCCTGCAGGTAGAGAGGAACAAGGCAGAGATGATCCAAAGATAATTTTATAGCTGACTCTGGAATACCCTGAGGGTATTTCGGTGGGGCAGCATATTTTCCTTTTATTTTAAAATTTATTTGTAACTCCGAGACACATATCAGCTAACAGTAGACAAAAGGCCCTAAGTCAGATTTGGATGGAAGTCAGACTGGGATTAAAAATCTGCAAAGCACGGAACGATCTACTCATGAATAACCAGGAGCTGACTGTTCTTGAATGGGTTTCTCTGGCCTTCACAATGCCCCCTTGACCAAGCTCAGGACAGCAGTCCTTGTAACATTTTCCCTTTGGTATGCAGTTAACAGAACAGGCCAGTGCTTCCCTCGACTGTTTACTTAGCTCTGTCTAGGTTTTTAGCAGAAAACAAAGAAGTTACAATTTTCAATTTAAAGGCCGTCCCCGTTCCTTTTTTTAGGGGCCCACCGAGGTTCCAGTGTAAGGATTTTATGGAACTTACTTGCTAGGTCTTGTACATGTGATCTCTCACCACAAACCTCCAGCAGGCAGGGAAACATTCTTCACACCCTGTCTATTATTAATAATCTGAGAGTCTGACTTGAATTGAGTCCATATGCTACAACTTTGTCTCGATGGCGTGCCAAAAAATAAATTTCCTAGAGTTAACTGTAGGACATGTCAGAATATCAAGCAACACACACAGACATGATAACCATCGCATAAAATGTGCCGTTTCATCAACGATGGTGTAAAGGCAAGCCATGTGCCTGAAAGCCCTCCAGGCGTTTTGGTGATTTTATGTTCTGGACAGTTCTAAGCACACAGATAGCACTCCATAAATACCTGACACAAGGTAAAACAATGCTAAGGCCAAATAAAATAGCTGGGATTATCTGATAACAAAATGGATTGGTTTTGCTTTGCTTTTTTTTTTTTTTTTGGTGAATGCCATTAGGTCTCGCCTATGTTGATTTCACCATTGCCATGGCAACCGCCAAATCTGGTTTCAAGTAGAAGCAAAGCAAAAAAAAACAAAGAAGTCCAAGTCCTAATAAAAATAAATAAGGGGCATGAATTAAATCCATGCCGTGTTTTTATTTCCAAGCAAATGGGTGATCCCTGAATCAACTAGGACTCGTCCATATGGGAAAACATTGTCGCTCTCAAAATCTGTGATAAGGAAGGACTGAACTCCCAACATTTGATTGCACACACATGTATATACATACCCTATGTGTATTTTCATCCGAGTATCACCTCTGAAATGGTTCCAATAAATATGCTGCATCAAATGCATTCCCCTGACATGAATGTATTCCACGTTCTATTAGGACTAAAACTGGTGCACATTCCCTGCAATGCCCGTCTGGGCCAGCTGTCATCAGCACACTTACTCGAACAACATCCAGCTCCTTGTTCCTCTGCATGAGCTGCTTTTCCAGTTCCACAATCTTGGACATGGCTTCATTCTCCGTGTCTTGCAGTTTTTCAGACAACTGTAAAGTTTTAAAAGGGAACCTGTGGTCACAACCTGACCATTCTGCTCAAGTCCTCGGTTCTCAGAAAGTAGAGCTCAAAAACCATTCGGGGCCCATCAGAGTCCTGCCTGTGTCCCCCAAGCTGTTTTCTGGAAATGTTTATATTTATAATAGGATTCTGAATACATACTTGCTTCTAATAGGAATTTATAACCTACACATGATCTTTAATAAAACCCATACATCAGCTCCTTAGTGTTGGGACCTAGACGGTGCCTCTCCCTCTGTTTCTGCAGGAGCTGACGAGGGTGGGGACAGTGGGTAAGGCAAGAAGGCAAGTTCACCTTTCCTGCCCGAAGAAAAGGCCATTAGGCCAAAGCTTTTGAAAATCATTGGTCCACAAAACTTGGTTCTGTTATTATTGAAAACCAGCTGAGAAAACAGTCCTGCTGGTTTTGACCCAAACTACCCAAATACTAAGTCATTTGGAGGGTCAGTTTGAACAAATGGGTGGCCTGCTACAAAAGTGGGTTGTGTGAATATGGTCATGCAACGCTGGCTGAGGCTTCCAGAGGAAGATTGGCTGAACCGTGTGTTAAATAGTTACTTTTCCCACAAGGCTCTGAAAGTGAGCAACTTCGGATTTCACTGAGAATGATCACAAGTAAAGAAAACCAGGGAGGCAAGGTGAGGAGGAAGGGTGGAGCTAAAAACCCTGATGAGGTTCAGAATATGAGTCAAATCTTTTAGGGTAAGAAACACTGGGCCGGTAAGTGCCCTTCCTAAGCGGGTGCCAACCACGTCACTGCAGCACTTACAAGGTGGGGGGAAGGGTTGGCTCACCAACTTGGCTTAACCACAGCCAAGAAGATGCCCATTTCAGAGTGATGGACAAAGGTGAAGGACGTCAAGCACGTCCGATACTCTCAACTAAGAAAACGTGGAGGAAAATAAATGGGCCGCTCAAATGGGGCAAAATAATATTGCTCCAAGAAGAGACCACTGATCTATAACGAAGGACACTGCCAAGCAGAATTCAACATAAGAATTTGGTCCTCACAATGCTTGGGTCTTTAAGAAGCACCATTTTTCTGTTCATTCCTGCAATATTCAAATATCTGCTTAATGGATAAACACATGAACAGCCCTGAAAGCCTTTAGACTCATAGTCAACTTAGTGTGTGGCAAGAAAAATCCCTCAAATGAGCCCCTGCCCTGAAAAGAAGACACTCCTCAAAGAAGAGAAGATAAGGGAACGCTCACTAATTTCCTTGAAAATGCCTACTGTTGAAAAGACTCTTTTTAGAACTTGAGTAAGCATAAGGCAAGACTGTGCAGATATGCATCACAAAGACACAATCACCCCATCCACAGGCCTGTGTGGACACACGGAGTACAGCATGACTTATATTCACAAGACTCTGAGTGAAATATAACTTATTGACACATCAAACCAAACTCCCACAGAGGCTGAAGTGGGCGGTATCTTGCCTGGATAGCCATGGTAGTTGCATTGAGGGAGAGGGTTAGGCGTGAGGCAGGAAAAACACAAGTAACAGTCCAATTAGCCCTGGGGCTTATTTTAGTTGCTAGAACCCATCTTTCATGGGCCTATGTGAGCACATGTGATAGAAAATGACTTCTATTCAGAGAAACAAGAATAGACGAGGACTTCTTCACCTCAGCCCAAATTCACATATTCGAGTGACATTTCCCCCCTACGTGGCGCCAACCATCTCACTCTGGGGGCCTATCTGTAACTAAGATGCCCAGGAAATCTGGGTTCAGCAGAAACCAAGCAGGTGACCTAAGGCAAGGCAACGGATTCCCCTTGGTTTTAAGTAACAAACATGCTTTCTTTGAAAGAACGCCGAGTGGCTTTTGACAGCTATCTCCGGCCGCAGCTCATCCCTACACTCCAAATACTCTCACTGACCACCCTAACAGCTAAGTGTGCATGTGTGTCTCCTTTTCCAAGACGTAGTTACATGAGAAATGTTTTCTTCCAGCTCTTCGACCCTCTCCAAGGCCGCATTCTTGGTCTCAGCATCTTCCAGCAGAGCTCCCACATCGAACACGTTGTCCAGGTAAGCTTGAATCTGCACCTGGAGCTTGTCGCTCTCCGTGTGCTTCAGTTTCTAAGAACCAAAACGCAAGAGAAGGCGGCCTTAGCACAGCTGTGGAGAGAGAACATAATGGTACGACAGCCTACATGTTTTTGTTACTTCCAAATACTCCAGTCTTTTCCAGTCTTTTCCAAGAGAGGGTTTGATGCCTCAGCCTCCTTAAGAGGACCACAGAGTGTTCGACTGTTCATCTAAGAAGCTACCATCAGATTACTTTCTGGTGAATACCCTCTCCCAAATATATACATATTTCCTTCCTAATTCTTCCTATAAATTTATTCCCCATATCGACATATTCCAAACCAAAACATTTTGATACAGGTGAAATCAGACAACAGAAAAATTAAAAAGCAGCTTCGGAAGAGAGCTACAGTCGCAGGTTTGAGACGCATCTGTGTGCAGAGGCGGTTAGAGTTAAGTATAATTGGCCTGACTAAAGAAGGTGGTTTGACTGAGGAAGAGGGTTAGGTGGGAGGTAGGGAAGACACAGATAGAATATATCAGCCCTGGGTTTGATTAGTAAATTGCTAGTCTACCGCCCTCCATGGTAACTTCCCCAAGATACTGCCCCAGCATAAGGAGTGCAGGGCTCCCCAAAGCACAGATCAGGAAGCCTTCCCTCCACTCCCTGCCTTACAGGCCCAGGCATCCCAAAGGAAGTCAACCAGCTTTAAGGTGAAATTAGAGATCAAGAAAATCTGCGAGTCTTCCTTACAAGTAACCTAAGTCCTGACTTCCTCTGGGGGAACAGATGAGTAGCTAGAATAATCCTGGCATATGGAGGACACCAATAAACATGTATTGAACAAATCATTGGCTACTTACAAGGCTGGGCTTTTGTAAACCAATGAAGCATTTATGTATTATATGCTTATAATATTAATCTTCTAACCACCTCTATCAGGGTCCAGAACCAACAGACCAGGAAGTTAGAGAAACACAGAGTTTTGGAAAATTTTTTTGAAATTTTTCAGAGGAATTATGTTCTCCATAAATTCTCAGGAAGATGGATTTACTCCCAGGTCTAAATCTGGAATTCCGTAACTTAGCTTGTCCTAAAGACAGTATGTTCTGTCTTAGTTTAGGCATACAAGCTAAAAAAGACACCTGAATAAGGGCAAAGCCAAGAAAGGAAAATAAAGCAGCAGCTAGGCAGGTCTTCTGACCAAGTACATGATGAGTAAGGGGCACTACCTGATGTGTTCCTCTTGCCATCGCTGCCTGGAGCCCGAAAGAGCTCTGCACAACCATCACAAAACTGAACCCACCACACCATGAGCAATCTACACACCCAATGTGCGCTCAAATCCTGCCACTCTCTGAGCAGGTAGGGAAAGAGCAGAGAGAAACCTTGATCTTAGAGCAGGAAAAACCTTTCAATACCATATTCTGTCAAAGATATTAGTGATTATTGAAGTCAGAACACAATTCCAATGACTCTTTAATGGAAATCCATCATGCCCCTCCCTGAGTACAGTCCTTAGACAACATTAGGCCAGTCTCTCCAAAGGCAGCCTCGCCGGTGTGATGAGCCAGGCCACGAGCTCAGAGAGTAACCAATGCTATGACTTTGCCTCGCAATAAACTGCAATTCCCTGGCTTTCCCCCTAACGAAGACGGGCAGCTGAACTCTGGAGAGGCCCAAGGGAAGCACTTCTATCTTCTTCGTGGCTAGAGACAAATTGGAAATTGAGGTTAACAATTCTTGCCCTCTCGTTAGCGGCCTTTCAAATTCAAGAGGACCACTGCTGCCCAGGAGGGAAAACAAAACCGCTCGAGAATCAAAGGACATGGGGGCATCCTGTGCATACACAGCCACTCAAGTCCATTTACGATTTTCACAGCAACTTGCTATTTCCTAGGTGAAGAACTACAGGGAGCTGGCTGAGCACTTCTGCAGGGGAGCCAGAGAGAGAGCAACTTTAGACCGCCTCTCCCAAGAACTTAAAAGTGCAACGACCAAAGCCACCAAAGCATTAAACAGAATGTAACCACTACACAAGGAAGTCTCTGGTGTCCATTTCCTCAGTTTTTTTTTTTTTTTTTTTTATGCTCTAAGCATTTATTCATCACTCTTTTGCAGTCTTGGTTTGATGGTTTCCCCAGAGTAACCAAGAACGTGGATTGCCCAAGAGCCCAGACGAAGGGTGCAAGGAAACTTGACCCAGACAAGAGCTCAGACATGGAGGAAAGCTGCAGCAAGCAAGGCTACAAGAGGGTGTCTGGCTCCAGTACTAAAGGGAAGTACTGGCTCCCCTGCAGGCAGAAGGCAGCCCGAGGTCCCAGGAGGTCGGCACGAATCCAGTTTCTCTGGCCGACTGCATCACTCGGATAGGTTCCCTTTAACACCAGCACTGCAGTACCCGGCCACATAGAGCCTCAAGCGTTCGTTAGTCACGGGCGGAAGCGTATCTTTGAAGGCAGGCAAAATAAATCAAGTCTTACACTGGAGCCAAAGGTCACAGCTCTACTTACATCCAAGTATTCATCCAGGCCTAACTTGGTAAATTCATACTGGAGGTGAACTCTGAAATTCATGTCTTCTACTGAATGGACTACGATATTAATAAACTGCATCGAGGCCACCTGCAATGAAATTGCCAATGGGTTACAGGGCTCCAAACCAGTTCTCTCAGTTTAATGGCGGGCGGATGCTTTCAATGTCACACATCTAAACACACTTACCTGTCTCCTTTTCCTTCATTTCTCTGGGTCTTCAAAAATATTTTATCATTTTTTTAAATTCAAAAGTCATAGAGATACCACAGTAAGATGCCACTCATCATCCACTAGAATGACTATAATCAAAACGAAAGTACGGCAAGGAGGTGGACGAAGTAGAACCTGCATCCACTTGGGATGTCCAGCTGGGCAGCCGCTTTGAAATGTCGGGCAGTTCCACCAAATGTTAAAAACGGAGTTACCACAGGACCCGGCAATCCAGCTCCTCAGTATGTGCCCACAGGAAATGAAAATGCATGCCCACATAGGAACTCACATACAAGTGTTTACAAAAGCATTATTCACAACCAGAATACAGGGGGGAAATCATCAATGTCCATCAACCGATGGGTTAAAATAATATGCTATATCTGTACAATGGAATATTAAATGATGATAAAAAGGGATGAAGTACTGATGCATCTTACAGCGTGGGTGAACTTGAAAACATTATGCTACATGAAACAAGTCAGTTCTAAAAGACCACATAAATTATGATGCCATTCATATCAAATATCCAGAACAGGCACATCTGTGGAGATAGAAAGTAGATTAGAAGCTGCCTAGGACTGGGGATGGGAAAATGGGCAGCGACTACTAATGGGGATTCCTTCTGGGGTGACAAAGTGTTCTAAATTAGACCACAGGGATGGCTGCACAACTCTGCAAATATGCAAACATTATGTTCAATTGTCCACTTTCAGTGGGTAAGTTAGATCTCCTCTCAGTAAAACTTTTTAAGTCTTATGGGTGTACAAACTGCGTAAGATATTACAGGTATATCATAGAAAATGGAACAATCTTAAAAAAAAAAACATTTAAAAAATCACTTATCATCATACCACAGGATAATCACTTCTAAAATTTCATCGTGGGCCCCACTATACCAACAAGATCGTAAAAGGATCTCTGACCCAAGCTTCTATTTTCAACAATCAACTGGTTTCCATTCCACAAAAGCCTTGGATTTACTGCTTTCTCTCCACAACTGCATCAGTGGCCCTGAGACCTGCCACAGAGAAAATCCAGTTCCTGGTTTGGTAAGGAACAAAACAAAGTTCAATAGATCTGTTTTGCCTTTTTTTTTTTTAAACTTTATTTTTAAGTAATCTCTACCTGCAGCATAGATCAAGAGTTGCATGCTCTACCAACTGAGCCAGCCAAGTGCCCCTATTTTGCTCTTAACAGGGACATTTATGGTGAAAATATCTTACGTTTTCCCTCTATGCGCAAACACGGTCTCCGCAAGGAGGTAAAGTGAATGAGGGATCCAGAATCACATTTACTCTGAAAACTGTCTTCCTCCTTTCTCCTCCAAACCCAGTTTCTTTTTATTTTTTAATTGTTTCTGTTGAGTTAAAGTTTTGTTGTTCTTGTTGTTTTTAATTTGACAGAGAGAGAGAGACAGTGAGAGAGGGAACACAAGCAGGGGGAGTGGGAGATGGAGAAGCAGGCTTCCCTCTGAGCAGAGAGCCTGATGCAGGGCTCGATACTGGGACCCTGGGATCATGACCCGAGCTGAAGGCAGACGCTTAACGACTGAGTCCCCTGTTTCTGAGTTAGATTCTCCTTTGAGTATAAGTCCTACATTGGAAGACAGGTCAACTCTCTAGGTTACAAGGAGACTCTTGCAATTTACTAAAAAAATGACTCCAGGTGCTATGGTTAAATGAGCTAAAGATTTTGTCAGGTTTTTTTGGTTGGTTGGTTGGTTGTTTTTTTGCTTTTTTCCACAAAAAAATACAGAAAAAGGTCCTATGTTGTGTTAGACAACTTTATGTTTTATGGGGAATAAGTGGTTCGGGAGGTTGTACAACTTAACTGCATTCCCAAGGACAGTTTAAAAAAAGCCTCATTTTCTGGAGGAAGATATGGTCCAATTCTGGCATCTTTCCATTTCTCCTCTGAATATCTGTTGAGTTTTAAGATATGTCTGAGAGGCAACTATGTGCTAGGTGACAGAGGAATCAAGAAAAGTACTTGCATACTAGCAGCTCCTAAATAAGCTTCCTCACTGCATGTATATATAAATAAATGGCAAGAAATACACTGTCCCTTCTGAACAGTGCATTTTATTTTATTTTTATTTTTTAAAGGTGTTATTTATTAATTTGACAGAGACACAGCGAGAGAGGGAACACAAGCAGGGGGAGTGGGAGAGGGAGAAGCAGGCTTCCCGTGGAGCAGGGAGCCCGATGTGGGGCTCGATCCCAGGACCCTGGGATCATGACCTGAGCCGAAGGCAGACGCTTAATGACTGAGCCACCCAGGCGTCCACAGTGCAGGCATTTTAAAGGGCTTGATTATACAAATTTTAATTTCAGCAGAAACTCAAGTGGCAGGGAGACCCCCCGAGGTCTGATAATGACTGAAGTGGGCCCCATGTAACACAGCAAGGAATAGTGTGGACCACCATTCCAGTGGCAAACTGGAAAGGGGATCTGCAGACTAAAAATAGGGGCAACTTGGCTCCAGAGGCTGATACTCTGCAAGCCCAGGGGTCTTGTGTTAGCTGAAATTTTTAGTTTAAAAAAAAAAAGGAGAAATCTGTACTTTATGCACCATTTCCAAATTTTTTATGGAGGGACATCACTGTCAGACTCAACTCACAAGGCTGTAGGTTGGCTTCAGCGTGGGAGCCTCCAGTTTGCAACCTCAGCTTTCAGGGAGAAAGAAGTTGCCCTTCTGAAGGCAGAGGAAAGAAACCAGTAAAGTGAGCCACGCCACGCACGGCTTCTTCACGTACTTATCATTTGTGCCAACACAGGCCTTCAAACACTCCAAAAATTCCTAACGAGAAAATTAAAAAGCCAATGTGAAAGTACTCCTTGTTTCACATTATTTGTCTTTAAAGAAAAAAAAAAAAAAACAGCAAATAACAGGCTTTGATGGAACAGAAAAGCTTCTCTAGAAGGACTGCCTCATTCTCACGGAATTTGGAAGAGGTCGCAGGCTAGGGATGTATATAAAATTTAAGGACCCAGAAAAATTTTTCACATGAAAGGGTTAGAAATCTGCAAAGCTGTGTTTCATGGTTTACAGCCACTGAAGCAATTCAAATGAAAACTGTGCCTGGCACCCTACGTGCAGGTTTGAGCAGACTGGACAACATAAGAACTGAGCTGGGCGCCTGCTCCAAGCCAAAGTGAGCTGAGAGATGAAGCCCCCGTGAGATCTCCTAGGCTCAGAAGTTGCCCAGGTCAACTGGATTGGGTCAGAGAAAGCCTGCAGATCTGGGTGCACTCATGGGTAGTCTGTCTCAGAAATGCTCTAGGGTAGATTTCCATCTTCAAACCAAGATTAACATTAAAGTCTATGAATTCAGCAGAGCTCAAACTCCTTTTGCTGTTTGTCCCCAGAGAGGACAGTGCTGCCACTGAACCACCCGTTCTTGCATGTGAACTACCATGCTAAGGAGCTCTGCAGTACGATGATGCACTCACAGTTACCAGAGCGGGAAGGAGATCATGAGTGGTGGGGCGGGGGGGCGCGTGGGTGGAAATCACTGCTGTATAGTAATTTGGGGGATGCATACAGTCAATTCTACAAACCAATGCACTTTAGTCTTTGAGAATCTAGTCTGGAGAAAGCCACTGGCTGGGGTGTGCAAAAGAAAATGGTCAAGATTCTTGGTTTCTACTTTCTTTACTGACAGCTAAAACTGGCAATTGCAGGAATTTGTACCACGAGTTAACGTCCTTTACCCAAATGCATGGCTTCACCCTTTATTTGCTATAAATAATTAGGACTTTGGGCCTTTACTATAAGCATGCACGTGAGGGATAAAACTGGAAATAAACACCAATTTCCCCTGTAAGGGAAAAATACAAAGTGTGAGGAACACTCTAGACCGAATCTATAGCATACTATACTCAATTTTCTGTCCTTTGTAACATTCATATGCACGTTCGTACACACATATGTATAATATATAAATATAAATGGATTTAGGAAAAAAAGTGCAGAAACGGAGTTTGCCTTACTGAATGTAATGTAGGACTGGAATAACTCACCATAAAATCTATGTTATTGTCTTCATTCCTGAAATGTTCCATCAACTTCTCAAAGCGCTGTTTTTCCCCACAAACCTGAAATACACATTTTCATCATGCATATGAAATTCCAAACATAGGCATTCTGAAATTAGATGCAGGAATTTTAGCAATAATTATTTCCAGAATATCTTTTTATTGCCTCTCTCACACACTATTTACTTCTAAGTTGGTTAACTCATAAATACCAACTTGAGCCAGGCCCTTGGTTTCTTCTAAATGTTCCCTTAATATATTGAAATCTCTATCAAATGTGTTTTTCTTTTATTGGTTATCTTTGCAGTCCAACATTTTTTTTTAACCTGGACTCAGAATCCCAGGATGTTATGGTTTAAAAAAAGAAAACAAAAACAAACCCCTTCCCCCCACCCCCACCCCATTTTCCTTTTTACAAAAGCACTTTTAAAACAGGCAATGCTAAAAGATTTGGAAAATTTAGTATTTAAATTCCTTGAAAGCAGATTGAAAACGTTCCTATTATATCAAAATCAAATTATTTTAGTGCATAAACCACAACACAGAAGTAGACACCATAGCAGTAAAGTATCTACTACTATAGTAGACACTTGGGAAGCTATATTAACCCATTCAAGGCAAGTACAGAAATTTGCAGTGATTTATGAAGTAGCACCCCTGAGGCCTGAAACATTCACCTCAAATGAATGCTTTCATTGGACAGGTGAAAGAGGCAGATAAATTACCGTGAACTCCAGGGCCCCCAAAGTATCTGGGTCTACACAGGAGTTAAAAACACAGAGTCAAAGAAAGATTTGTAACAAATTAAGAACTCTCTGGAGACTTATTCCCGAAATCAAAGGATAAACTTTAATTCTGCCAGTGACCTTGGCTACCTTTTTTTGGAACCCACTGGATTATTCCTTTTGCCTTCAGAAAGTATGTACCTGAACACCCATGAGCTACATGTAATACAAGTAAGACACAGTCTCTGGTCTTATTTAACATTTTGAATTTAATCCAAGTTTCACATGCTTGACTCAATTTTCCAGTTCTATTTGTCATCTTGGCAATATATAGGATGATCCTGAGAATTGCCCTAAAATGACATTTCATAATGCTCTAATGCAGCCATTTAGTTCTGTCAAGTTATACACACATATATATAACTTATATATCTATATATAATTTATATATCTATATATGAAGACAAAGATTCAAGAAGACAGCAATTTTGTCTGTTTTGTTCGCCACTCTATATTTTTTTTTTTAAATTTTATTTATTTATTTGAGACAGCGAGAATGAGAGAGAGAGAGAGAGCACATGAGAGGGAGGAGGGTGAGAAGGAGAAGCAGACTCTCTGCTGAGCAGGGAGCCCGATGTGGGACTCGATCCCAGGACTCCAGGATCATGACCTGAGCCGAAGGCAGTCGCTTAACCAACTGAGCCACCCAGGCGCCCCAACGCCACTCTATCTTTAGAATCTAGAACAACGCTTAGCATGTTGTAAGTTCCCAATAATATTTGTTGAATTATACTGGAAAAGGACAAATGAGTAATTATGTAAAAATACACTTTAATGAAAGGATGAACGACTTTCCCACACTAACATGTTGATGAAAGAAGAACCATCAGCCCAAAGTAGACAGGCACCAGGATTAAGGCTTTCGTGATAGTTCCTGTGCCTCAGCTGTGTGCTGGGAATGTTAAGCCTTCAGCTTCAGAGGGCCACCTAGGTCTCAAAGCAGCTTATTTTTCTCAACAGACGCTTATCACACTTTACTGTATTCTGATGACAACTCTCCATTTATTTATACCTGCCTTAAAAAATAATTACAGAAAAAAACAGTGCATGAACCCAGTCCAGAGGAAGAGAAGGAGGCTCCAAAGGGAGCATTTCAAGTCAAGCTTTTAAAAAAAAACACACACGTCCAATCCCACGAGAGAGAGCCTGATTCAATAGGACCAGGCAGGGCTGGATGACACGCACACGCACCATTTTAAAAGCACCACAGACCATGTCGATGCAACTTTACAAAGACAGAGAACCAGAGATTTAAAGGGATACTCTGTTCTACCCCTGGCCTCAGCCAGCCCCTCTTGGAGAAGCAGCAGCAAGTTCCTGGAAGCAAAAGGTTTGTTGGGGGGCAGGGAGGTGAGGTATTACAAGCCCAGTTCCCTAGACTACGACATCAGCCACATCTTGTGTCTAGAGGCACAAAAGTCCCTAGCCTGCAAAAAGAGCCCAGTGGGTGAAAACTGCCAAGTCTGGATATGGAAAGGATCAGAATTACAACCTGAATTTTAAGAGAAGCCCCAATATAAGCATTTGTTTCCCAGGGGAATGGTTTACTTCCATCTGTTCTGGGAGGTTGGCAGTGGCAGGAGAAAGGAAGAGAAGCTGTCCTGGATCTGCAAACAGCTAGCCACTACCCAAAGCGGTGATTCATGTTCTGTTGAGCTGCCAGGCACCGAACTAGAAGAAGCAACAGGCATCACTGAACAGTACAATTCCTAGGCGGGCAAAACCCTTCAAATGAAAGAATGTCAAGAATCTGTAAAGTACCTGGTGCCCTCAATTTTTGAATGAGACTGAAACCTAGACAGAGCAAACAACTGTAACTTGATGAAACGTCAATACAGAAGCTAGAGCCAAGTCCCCAGCTACCAGGCTGGCTGATGTTCCTTCTCCAGCACAGCCTAGCAGGTGCAGATAAATGTAAGACAATAATTTAAAGCATTCCAGAATTATCTGAGACACCAACAGAGATGAAAAATGTTACTGTTAAAAACCACAATCATTACGCCAGGCATATACTTGATGTGCTTGCACCAGAATCTTCCATGGAACTTCTAAAAACGGCAAGTTCCTAGAGTCTAAATCAAGACATACTGAATGAGAATCTCCACAGTGGAACTAGGAATCTGTGCTTTTAACAAGTACTCATGGCTGCTGAGCCAGTAGCTTAAATAATATAGACTCGCAGATTCAATCCCAACCTTTCTGACTACCAATTATAAACCAGATGACTAGATCATTAACTCTCCAACTCATTCAATCTCCAACTTAACAATAAATAAGGAGATACAGTTACCATAACTGGGTATCATGGGAATGCAGCAGGAATTGACCCACAGTCCCTGCAGAGGTACAATAGATACTAAGGTAACTCCCCAATAATCAGAGATTGTGTGTAAGGCATCAGAAAAAAGGCGGTTTATATGGCTGAGGAAAGTGCATGTGCCAGCAAGAAAACAAACTATTCATAGCCTGTTAATAAAAAAAGCAAGCATCAAATCTAGAACAAGCAATATTAGATGAATTTCATGCTGGGTAAAGATCCCAAAAATCACATACCACCCTGACAGACAGGGCTGCAATGGACATTAAGAAAACCTTTGAGGGGCGCCTGGGTGGTTCAGTTGTTAAGCGTCTGCCTTTGGCTCAGGTCATGATCCCAGGGTCCTGGGATCGAGCCCCCACATCGGGCTCCCTGTTCCTCGGGAAGCCTGCTTCTCCCTCTGCCTGCCGCTCCCCCTGCTTGTGTTCCTTCTCTTGCTTTGCCTCTCTCTGTCAAATAAATAAATAAAATCTTAAAAAAAAAAAAAAAGAATGATCTGGCTGCTCACTCTCCTCACCCACTGTGAGCTCACCATGTCCCTCTCCCACCAGCTCACCATGTCCCTCTCTGTAAAGGTTTAAGCGGACGGCTCTGTTGCCAATCTCAGCTAACAAGTTCAGGGTGGTATTTTCTGATACTGTTCCATAGGAACAGCAGGGACTCCAGAGGCCCCCCCTTTTATTTCTGCTGGAGGAAAGGAAGCATGCAAACCAGACTCACATTTGTTTCTACATTACTTTAGCAATCATTAAACAAGTATATACTGTAATCCCACAGGAAATGGCAAGATATGTTCGGGGGAGGCTGGTAAAGTTGTGTTCGGCATCAAAGGAAAGCAGTCTCAGCTCATACTGCTCACATCTGGACCACCCCACACACTTGGTTCAAATAGAACAGTCATGGCTGAACGTGCCTCTTTTCTCCTTTGAAACTGACCTGGCTTCAGAAAATGGTGAGGATAAAAGGAACAAGACGCTGACTCTCAGTTATGTTCGGAATCCACACATTGACTGGCCTTTGTGGGGATGCACTCAGGACTTCATCAAAACAGATATGGGAGCCAGCAGTGTATCTGCGTGTATTACTGAACGTTATATATTGCCGCATATAACTTCCATCTGCCAACAAAGGCCAGACGGTACACGATTGGAAAACTTTCCAGTAAAAAAACTGTTCTGTGGCAACTGAAATAAGTCATTTCTTGCCTTTCATATAACCAATGGTGTTTCCCATTCCTCCACTAGCTTTAACACCAATTTCCTGGATCAGTGACAAGTAGCCAACTGAAGTAGGTGGGGTAGGGAGCCAATTTAAGAAAATTCGGCCACGGGGCACCTGGGTGGCTCAGTTGGTTAGGCGACTGTCTTCGGCTCAGGTCATGATCCTGGAGTCCCGGGATCAAGTCCAGCATCGGGCTCCCTGCTCAGCAGGGAGTCTGCTTCTCCCTCTGACCCTCTCCCCTCTCATGTGGTCTCTCTTTCTCTCTCTCTCTCAAATAAATAAATAAAATCTTAAAAAAAAAAAAAAAAAAAAGACAATTCGGCCACAGAAAGGCCAAGCAGAGTAGACTGCAGAGGAGGCTCTTGTGCATGGGAATACTCCAAGAGGAATTAGGTTTCCACTACCAACAGCCAGGGATGCCAGAAAATAAAAGTCTATGCTCAGGAAAACCATGTATTCTGCAGGAAACTTAAGAGGCATCTCCATTTATAAATCAGTGTTGTGTGAATAAATGTGCTGGCCCCGATTAACACTGTATAAAGCAAAAACCCTCAGGCTGGGATCCTGGACCACAGACTTCAGTTTACTAAACACCCACCCAACCCTGAGGGTCCTGCCTGACGTCCATGCCCCTTACCTTGAAGCTCTAACACTGATGGGGGTGAGGGGATATGAGGGCAGAAATAGGACCAAACAGAGCACAAGAAAACCTGCATCATAGGTCACAGCTCTGCCAC